GTTTTTGTGCACTTGCAATGGCTTGAGTTGGAGCAGCAGACACAGCTCGTTAAGAGCCTGGAGGTGAAGGCCTGGGATTGGGTAATGGAGTCCTGGCGCTGCAGGTCACGAGTTCAAATCCACCTCTCAGCAGGCACAAAAGCACGCTGTTCCCGTCTGACGGTTGTCAAGGGGGATGAGATGGCCCGTTGTCTTCAGTCTGCCGTCTGATGGGCAGAGGCTGCCATTGATTATATGGGTGGGGGCAGCGGCCAGGAGCTTCCCTCCTCAGGATTGGGCCCCCCTTGTGCCAGGGGCTGTGCTGAGCTGTAGCAAGAGGCATCCCTCAGCCGCCTTTGTGGCGGCTGAGGTCTCTCCCGAGGAGGGTTGCATCCTGTGCAGGTGCTTGGCATGTGTCTCCGAGCAAACGTGGGGATATCAGGCTTGATCCTGGGAGGGGTTGAGCCCCTCCTGAAGGTTTCCCTGTACTTTATTGGGAACAGAGAGTGGGTAGTGTTATGCAGGGGGGCTTGTTGCTTTGTGGGATTGGACCCTGGACTACAGGCTTGTTGCTGGTTTGCTCTACCATCCCTCTGATGGGCTCAGCGGTACCCACAGGAATGGAGACAGCCGCCAAAGCAACCCCACGGAGGAGCGTCACCTTGCATTAGTGCCTATGGAGAGACCTGAGGGGGTCTGGGTAGCTCAGGGGATCCTGAGTATGTTGTTTTAAAGCCCCCACTTTGGATCCAGGCTGGCTGATCTATACCAAGCAACCTTCTTCTTGGGTTGTGTAGTCAGTCTGCTGGTCCCAGGCCTGCATCTTATGGGCCAGTTTCACGCAGTCCTCGAATGGCCAGCAGAAGGGTTGAATGTGTGGCAGAGACCACACTCTTCTCTCCTTATAGACCTGGCAGGGCCCCCAGGACACCCCCACACGGCCTGGACAGTGGATAGAAAGGCAAGCTCTGAGTCCAAGGCTCACCAATCTGTGCTAGTTTAGGAGAGCTAAATTCAAAGCAGATAGCCAGGTGTCCTCCTGGGGTTGCATTCAGAGGGGAGGTGCTCCAAGTGCATCCCCATCACCTGGACACCTTCATCGTGCGCTGCCTGACCAACCAGACTGGCTTTTCTCCTGGGCAGCTTGCAGTACGACAGCTTGTAATAAGCAGGGCTGCACCCAGCTTGGCCCCAGACGCCGGTGGAAGGAAGCGAACAAAATGTTTCTTTCCGGCGGTGGCAGCCAGCCGGCGTCTTCTTCAGACGCGGTGTAGAGGACGTTCTCTGCTAGCAAGCAGATGGCTGGCTCGGAGCATAGCGTGGACATATGTGAGGACATCCTTTTCCAGCCTGGCACAGCATCATTGCTTTCAAGAGGTTTAAAAGGTCCCATGGGTGTTTCTGGGCTGGAACAAAGCATTTTTAGGCGGGGTCTTCCATGCTTGAGCAGCTGGAATAGCTCAGTCACTTGTATGTGTAGGAAGGTAGGGCTGGAAGGGACCTCCATCCCCCTGCTCCAGGCAGGAACGTCCCCATCCAAACCAACCCAGCCAAGAGTTTCTACACTTAGAAACTTCCAGCGATGGGGTGTCTACAGCCCCTGCAAGGTGCCTGTGCTGAGCCATCCTCATCGCCAGAAGCATCATAACCTCTCCCTCGTAGCTCAGTCTCTCTCGGTGCATGTTCTGGATTGCACTTAGCATTTGGAGGATGTCCTTGCACATTTGGATGTAGCACAGCCCTTCCTTTCTTCTTCATCACGCGGTTCGAATGGAGATGACGCTCTGCCCAGCTTCAGGGCTGCACTTTTAGCATGCAGCTGTCTGACGGGCTCACCCCCACCCCGTCTCTGACCAAGGTTGTGCCTTTTATGTGAAGCATGGAAAAAACACAGACTGTGGGATTGTTGGCAAAATGGTTCAAGGACTTGCATTTCCCTGGGAAACCAAGTCCGACCCTGTTTTCACATCACTGCAAATTCTGTCAGACATTGATATGAGGTTGTAGTTAGGAGGGGGAGCTGCCTCCTCTTCCACACAGCTACTCCTCCCGTGTTTGGATTAGATATCAGCCCTTGTGATGTTTTAGCAGGTCCTGGGGGCTGCATTTTTCAGAGCGAACCAATAATCAGAAAGTCTTAGCTTGCATTTGCAAAAATAAAATAAAAGCCGTAAGTTTTTGGCCCTCGTGACGGCAGAGAAGAGCTTGTACATGTGATTGCCTAAAGGCTCCCAAGCCAGACTGTGCTGATCTGCTGACTCGGGAGATGTAAAGCAAATCGTATGTACTGGCCAGCTCCGCAGAGCCAGCACCGCTGAGACAGGCTGTCGGATGCTGTCTCCCACTGCATCACCAGCTAAGGTCTGAGGTCTGAATCTGGGGTGTTTACTGGGAGGCTTCCTGGATTTACTGGGTTTTCGAGTCTTGTTTTAACCTTCGCTTTGCAGGGTTGGATTCCTACCTCGGATCGAGCAGCACTCTGTGCGTTTGGGGCAGGCACCTTCAGGTCATCTCTCCGGGTGCTGGAGCTACCAAGGCCAAAGTGCCCTCCAGCCCAAATCACGGCACGCTTGGGGATGCTCTTGGTTGTCAATGGAAAAATGGTCTTCACGGTGCCTGCTTCCAAAGCCAGGGTCAACAGGACTCCTTTGCTTTCCTTTCCTTGTGTTAACTTCTTGTCTCGTGCATCTCCCTCTTCTAGTTCGTGAAGTTTGCGAACATCGAGGAGGACACCCCCTCCTACCACCGGAGCTATGACTTCTTCGTGTCCCGCTTCAGTGAGATGTGCCACTCCAGCCATGACGACCCGGAGATCAGAACCAAGTGAGTGAATGGGATAAAACGCTTGAGCCTTCTCCTTGTCGAGCAAATGCATGGGCGGGACTTGGGGTCTCGGGGTCCCTGTCAGCACAGACGCACAGCACATTTACTATGGAATAAATGGGTATGCGGTACCCCTGTAGCTGCACAGCGGACACGCATCGCACGGCCTCACACTGATGTAGGCTGCTGTATTCCAGGGTAAAGATGACCCACATAAAATGAAAGCTTATACCCCAGCAAAAGTCACATGGGGGAACCATGCATGTGTCTGCCCTATTTCTATCACCTCCTAGGGTGATTGCTTCAGCATTGTAGCAGCAGCTGCTGCAGGCAGCTACCTGGCCATGTATCTGCTCCTTGACGCTTCAGAGCAAAATTCAGGATAAACTACTCTGCAGTAAGCGCGGCATGTGTCAGTGTAACAGCGTCCGTGGACAAACTCCTGGAAGTTGCTGCCACCTTGGAACAGACTTCTTTGCTAATCTGTCCCGCCCCATATCTTCCAAATGCCATGCCCCAGTTCCTTTGATGGAACTGATGGGGTACGCTGGGCGCATCTACATGAGACTCATAACTTCGCATTAGCATAGTTTACTGTGAAGTAAGTGCGTGCGTCTACACGTGCACATGCTTACTTTGCAGCAAACCTCCCTAATCCCAAGCAAATTTGCTACCTGCAGATGCAAGTAGCAAATTTACTTGGGATTAGTCATGACACCGTAGCGCTTGTGTACATGCCTCACCCGGAGCCAAACCTGCTTCCGGTCAGCTGTCCACCAGGGGTGGGAGATAGTCCCTCCCCGGGGAGTTGCCTGCTGCCAGGGTGGGCTCTGCCCCAGGAGCCTGGGCGGGGGCTATGTACCCTTGTCCCAGCAGCAGGGAGCTCCAAACTGGGAGGTCCTTATCTACCAGCCCCCGCTCCACCATCATGATTGGGGAGCAGGGGCCTGGGAGACCCTTATCTCCCAGCCTGAGTTTCGTGGTTATGGGGGTCAGACTGGGAGACCCCCAGTAGCAGCAGACAGCTGTCTCCTGGCCCAGTGCTCCCTGCTGGCCCCTGGGCTAGCACCCAAGGGGAGCCTGGTGCTCCCCACAAGTGGCAGCAGGGGCCCGCTGTAGGGCTGCAGGGAACTGGGTGCAAATTTGACCCCCAATCAGTGCATGTGTAGACACCTGCCCAAAAAACCCTTACTCTGGAGTTGCTTACACCAGAGTAAATTTGAGCCAGAGTAAATGCATGTGTATATGCGCCCACTGGGTACAAATCCACCATCTTGGACAGTGCGCTATGAGCCACCAGAAGATAAATGAGTGAGTGAACGGAGCCTCAGACAGGAGTCTTGGACATGGGCCAGGTCGGATGAAGCTCACCTTGGCCTCTGGTTGCTCGCAGCCTCCAGTCACCTTTCCCAGCACTGGCGTTTTGTACGAGTGTGCCTCACTCGATGGTGGTCACATGGGGAAAGTGCTCAAGTACTAATGAGTGACTTGCTTGCCCGTGAAGGGAGCTTGTGCCCCAGAAGGATTAATTATGAATAATGCAGATGGATGAATAGTGTTTATTGCTGCCAAAGCCCATCCTGTCAGCAGGGCCCTGGAAAACAACCAGCACCCTCAATTGCTGCTTTCTCCCTCCTCTGCAAAGCATTCGGCGATCCTGCTGGTTCAGCCTCAGTAACGACCCTGCTGCTCATAACGAGAGTCTATGAGGGGAGGAGAGGGGAGAAATGCTGCCAATCCAGTTTAATTGCTTCCCCTCACCCCATAATGAAGCTCGACATTGGTAAAAGGCTTGAAAGGCTGGGGAATAATGCGCAGCGCTGGGCCAGAGAGAGTGCAACATTATAATGCTAATGTGCTAAGGCTGTTTTCCTCTTAATGGGAGGAAACGTGGGAGCAGCTCATGCTCTGATGGTGCGTAACTCCGGGGCTAGGAGCAGGTTGTTGACAGTGGCAGGACACTGGCAGTGCCCTCGTCCCCCTGATTTACCAGGGGCAAATGAGGGTGTTTTGGGCGTTTTGGGCCACTGCACATAGTAGCTGTGCAAGAGAGTTGTTCGCACAAGCAGTTATGTGGGATTTCATAGATTTCATAGATTTCATAGACATCAGGGCTGGAAGGGACCTCGGAAGATCATCGAGTCCAGCCCCCCGCCCAAAGGGCAGGAAGTCAGCCGGGGTCATAGGATCCCAGCAAGATAAGCATCCAGTTTGCTCTTGAAGGTGTTCAATGAAGGCGCTTGAACCACCTCCGGTGGCAGGCTGTTCCAGACCTTGGGGGCTCGGACAGTAAAGAAGTTCTTCCTTATGTCCAGCCTGAAACGGTCTTGTAGTAGTTTGTGACCATTCGACCTCGTCATCCCTTGGGGCGCTCTGGTGAACAAACGTTCCCCCAGATGCTGGTGGTCACCCCTGATAAACTTGTAGGTGGCCATCAGATCACCCCTGAGCCTGCGCTTTTCCAGGCTAAAGAGCCCCAGGGTTCTCATCCTGTCATCGTAGGGTCTGCTTCCCTGACCTCTGATCATGTGCGTGGCTCTTCTCTGGACTCTCTCAAGCTTCTCCACATCCTTTTTGAATTGTGGAGCCCAAAACTGGACACAGTACTCCAGCTGCGGCCTCACTAGGGCCGAGTACAAGGGGAGAATGACGTCCCGGGATTTGCTTGAGAAGCATCTATGGATGCAAGCCAGCGTTTTGGTCGCTTTACTAGGCGCAGCATCGCATTGCAGGCTCATGTTCATCTTGTGGTCAATGATGACCCCCAAGTCTCTTTCTTGCATAGTGTTGGCCAACATAGCACTGCCGAGCCTATAAGGATGCTGCGGGTTTTTCTTCCCAAGGTGGAGAACCAAGGTGGATAGTTCAGACAGGACTGATCCTGCCTTGAGCAGGGGGCTGGACTAGATGACCTCCTCAGGGCCCTGCCAGCCTGGCTTGTTTGTGATCCTGTGGTCATCCCTCCTGGGCTAGCTCTTCCCAGAGCACTACAGTAGCTCCCGAGCCCCGCGACAAGACTGGATTCATTGCATCGGGCAGCATCCAGCTCCCGTTTGCTGTATAGTCCCTGCCTGGATCTGGCTTGGAGAGGGAGCAGGCTGAATGGCAGGATTGGGGAAGGGGAGCAACTTATGCAATGTCACCTTGCAGATGCCAGCAAAGGCGGTGGGATTTCAGTGAACTGCTGATGGGGTTTGCTGCTTGGCATTAGGACTGAATTGCCCAGCCACCTGAAGCTTTAAGGTGGTGGTATAAGACGCTGGACCCTCAGTGACATACCTAGAGGGGTGGCCAACCATAAGTGGCATGGGTGGCCTCCTGTAGGACTTATGGAGCTAGCTGAGCCTCGGTGATGCCTGGACGCCAAGCCAGAGTATGCCTCAGCCTGAAGGACTTGCCTCTGTTTTACCAGGAGTACATTAAGACTCCCAACTCGCCGGCTCTTATTCAGCTTCCGAGCTTGCAAGCCCTGAGAAACAAATGCCCATGAAACTGGGAGAAAACACACAGATGGCCCTCAGGGAATAGGGTCCCAGTTGCCAGTTGTATATTTTTCCGCCCTTGCCTTGGCTTCACCCTTTCATCCCAACCCTGGTGCATTGAGACCTGCCTTGGACCAGAAGAAAGCTTCCTTTCTCTCCCTTAAACTGTTCTGCACTCCGTGCTGCTCTCTTCATTGCTAGTGCAGATGGACATGGCTATTCTCTGGTGGCACGGCTGGTTATTAGCTGCCTTTTTAAAGCCAGGTAAGAGTCTTCAAGCCCTGGGTTTGGCATATGCTATTTTATCATACACAATATTCACCTTTCCCCCAAAAGCGAGCTGCTGGAAATTGGAGCGTGCGTGATATGGGAGAAATATGGTTTCTGCAAAAGTGAGATCCCCCAGCTGCTGCTCAGTTACTGATTACAAAGAAAGAGCTTTTCTCTTCGTTCTGCCTTTCAAGAGCAAGGCGCTCATCTTATTCCAGGACCTGTTGTAGGTGAGGAAACGAGGTAGGCATTTTATCACGTGGAGGTCAAGAAAATGCCCGAGACCCTCTGCGTGGTGATTCAGAGCTGGAGTCTCGGTGTCTGAAACATCAGTCTGTGCCTGCTGGGTTCACTGATTTAATCCAGCTGCAGATCAGACCTTTGCTACTCCTGATGACTGACATTAATACCTGTTGCTAGCCCAGTGCCTCTCTATTGAAATCAGTCTTGCTAAAAGTGGCAGGACCCTGCAGGGTGTTTTTCTGAGGTCCCTGGAAACTCCAATTACTCTCTTAAACTTCCCACTCACCCTCCAGGGGAGGGGATCCGCCTAGGAGTGGGATCTTAGACACCCAGAGCCGTGGGGCTGGAAGGGAGCTGCAGAGGTCACATCCAGTCCAGCCCCTGCCCGAGGCAGGATCAGCCCTGTGCAAACCAGCCCGGACACATCCATTGCCCAACCTTGTAACAAAACTACATGGCTGACCGTGACACAACATAAGACGTCACACCCGAACCTGATATAGGTAAAGCAGGGGGACCACGGCTTTGCAGTAACGTCCTGTTGCTGCAAAAATTGTTAATATATGCTCGAGAGATCCCAGGCAGAAGCCGTGCTACAGAGGAGGGCAAACCACCCCTGCTTTGTTCCCCTTCTCAGGGAACTTTGCAATGTCTGACGAATGCAAAAGAAATAAGGAACAGTCTTCTGCTTGGGTCTGGTTTTCACGGGTCGCTCAGCCATCTCTCAGGGCTGAGAAGAGAAGCCCAGGGTCCTGACTTCACCTCTAGTTCGTATTCAGCTTTTAGAGTTAGGGTGAGGACCCAGGTGTCCCCCTGCTCCAGCTGCTGGGTGGCAGCCTCTCCCTAAATGTGAGGGGCGATGGGGGCAATCTGCTGCTTTGCCAAGAGCAATCAGGGGTCTTGGGCATGCTGATGAATGGAGAGCACTGTCTCGGCCACGTATCCTCATGCCTGTTGTTTGTAACCCTTTCCCCCAGGATCCGGATGTCCGGGATCAAGGGGCTGCAGGGGGTGGTGAGGAAGACTGTTAATGATGAGCTCCAAGCCAACATCTGGGACCCGCAGCACATGGACAAGATCGTGCCTTCGTTGCTTTTCAACCTGCAGCACGCCGAGGAGGCCGAGAGGTAGGTGGAGCCTTGCTTTTCTCTTCTAGTAGCGCAGTCTCGCTTGAAATCCCCCCAGGACCGAGTCTGCAAATGGAAGAGATGTGATTCCAGGCGGCGCGGCCATCCCCTTTGCCCAAAGGGGTTGCATACAGCACAGGAGCTCCTCATTCCCATTGCTTGTGAAGTCCCATTCCCAGCGCCCTGCAGGAAACCAAAGGTGAAACCATCAGACCCGTTGCCCGGTCCCAGCGGTGTAACCCGCAAACCACATGCCGTGCGTCCTCTCCCCACAGAATCACAGCACTTCACGGCCTTTACAGTTTAGGGGGGCTCCTTGCAGGACCGCTGTCATGTCTGGGGCAGGGGCTTCGTGCTGCTCTGGGCAGTGAGTTGCACAAGTTAACCGTGCATTGTGCAAAAAAGGACGCTGCCATCTAGCAGCCGTGTCCCAGGACGGACGAGGGGCTGCGAGTCTTTGGAAACATCACAAAGCAACCCCTTTGCTCTCTCTGTTCCCCATTCGTAGCCGTTCCCCATCGCCTCTGCAAGCCACGGAGAAGGAGAAGGAGAGTCCCGCGGAGCTGGCGGAGAGGTGCCTGCGGGAGCTGCTGGGGCGGGCAGCTTACGGCAACATCAAGAATGCGATCAAACCGGTTCTCATGTGAGTTGCCTCATCGGCTCTTTGTCCATCTGCCTGGCCCCGGGATGGGCTGCCCAGGGCAGGATGGTGCGCTCTCCCCCTTGCCCCAGAGCCAGAGCTTTTCTTGTTGACAAAGAGCAGCAGG